CACACACACACATACTTAAGCTAGAAAGGTAAAGTCTCAGGTAAAGAGCAGGGCTTGCGAGTCCACTGCACTTGCTGAAACTCTCCCTCCCTCATGTTTCTTGTCCTCTGCCCAGGATGAAGTTGGTCTATGGGAACCATGGATCCAGGCAGCTCACTGGCTTGGCTCCCATTCACAACAGGCCAGGCTGCTGGGGAGGAGGGGCTTGGATGCTCCTCACTGGACTCCCCTGGTCCTGGGCCAGTCACTTCTCCTCACTGCACCTTCAAGTTTCCAAAAATAAAGTAGGGCAAGGCACCCGGACTTGTCGGCCCGCTGGAAAATGCCAGGGTGCTCCGTCTGTGGGAGCAAGCGTGGCTGGTTTAATAAGGCCTGAGTCCCCTCAACCCAGCGCTCTCAGATCCGGCCCGGGAGCATGGCAGGTGAGCACCAGGGGCTGTGGAAGGGCCAGCAGCATTCTCACTAACAGTAACAACAAAAAGAATCAGACTCTTCCAGACTTTTGGTACAATTTCCAAGCTACAGCAGCTCTGAGGCATAGGCGCACCGGTGCCCTGAGGGAGCAATTGGCCAAATCAAAACTGGGCGCCTCTCTGCAGGACGAATGAGCCGATTTCATCCCCATCAACGGCAAGCGGAGAAGGACCATTTTAAACACAGCGACATAACAAGCAAGTGCTTCATTAAGCTCTGGTTTCAACAAACAGTTGTAAAAAGAACACAGAGGACAACTGAGAGAAAGTGACTCAAAACAGATCCGGAAGCGGCGGCTCACACCTGTCATCCTAGCACTTTGGGGGGCCGAGGCAGGCGGATCACTTGAGGTCGGGAGTTCAAGACCAGCCAGGCCAACATGGCAAAATCCCATCTCTACTAAAAATACAAAAATTATCCAAGCGTGATGGCTCACTCCTGTAATCCCAGCTACTTGGGAAGCTGAGGCTGCAGAAGAGTGTAAGGATGGCCCGGTGCTTAGTGGGTGACAGTCTCAGCTGCAAGGGGAGGCAGTGACTTCGGGTGTGTACTTGCAAGCCTTTGCAAGAAAGTGTTAAATGCTGAAACAGAAAAAGCAGGCTGGGTGTGGTAGCTCATGCCTATAATCCCAGCACTTTGGGAGGCTGAGGCGGGCAGATTGCCTGAGGTCAGGAGTTCAAGACCAGCCTGGCCAACATGGTGAAAACCTGTCTCTACTAAAAATACAAAAATTAGGTGGGTGTAGTGGCATAGGCCTGTAGTCCTGGCTACTTGGGAGGCTGAGGCATGAGAATCGCTTGAACCTGGGAAGTGGAGGTGGCAGTGAGTCGAGATCGTGCCACTGCACCCTAGCCTGGACGACAGAGCAAAACTCTGTCTCAAAAAAAAAAAAAAACAAAACAAAACAACGAAAACACACACACACACACACACACACACACACACCCCACACACACAAAAAGCATCCCAAACACCCTCCAGCAGGCAAGTGGAGGCCCATGCTGTGCTCCATCCATTCCCTGGAAGACTGCTTAGTGATCAAGGCAGCAAACTGCAGATACAACAAACAACAGGCTTGGCTCCCAAATGCACAACGCTGAGGGGAGGGAGGGAGGGAGGGAAGAAGGGAGGCAGGAAGGGAGTCAAGAGTCAATGGGCCTCACACTGTGGGAGTCCACTGGAAAGACTACAGGATAGGGAGCGGACTGGTGGTGGCCAGGGCCTGGGGATTTCCTTTGCTGCTTCTTTTTTTTAAGAGATAGGGTCTCGCTCTTTCTCCCAAGCTGGAGAGCAATGGCACGACCATAACTTACTGAAGCCTTGATCTTGTGGGCTGAAGGGATCCTCCCACCTCAGCCTCCCAAAGAGCTGGGACCACAGGCATGTGCCACCACGCCTGGCTAATTTTTTAATGTTTTTGTAGAGACAAGGTCTTGCTGTGTTGCCCAGGTTGGTCTCGAACTCCTGGGCTCAAGCAATCCTCCTGCCTGAGGCTCCCTAAGTGCTGGATTATAGGCGTGAGTTACTACACCCAGTCTGACCTGTGGGTTTTTGAGGGGTTGACTACAAAGAGGCATAGGGACAGGGATTTTAGGAGGTGACAGAACCGCTCCGTATCTTGATTGAGGTGAGGGTTACTTTGCCATATGCAGCTGTCAGCACGCACGGAACAGTACTCTTGACATTTACTGCATGTAAATTATACCCAATAAAGAAGACAAAAGGCCAGTACCTGGTCCTTGGTTCTCCCCTCCCGTTCCCGGATGTAAGTGGTGACGATTCGCTCTGTCTCCTCTCGTAACCGGGGGTAGGAACTGAGCTGGGGGAACAAGCAGAGTGGCCGCGTTGGCGGGGTCCTTGTGGCACGGGAAGCAACACGAACCACACAGGTGAAAAATGTGGAGGGGGGTGGGGAATGAGATATGAGGGGGCCCACCGAGCCCACACCTTGCTCCTGGCCCCCAGTGAGTCCAGCTGGGAGCTAAGAGCAGAAGAGTGGGGGCGCTGTGGACCGGAGAGAGCAGGAGAGCAGAGCTGCTTTTCCAGCCAGTGGCCAGGAGGCAGGAGGCGGCATGAAAGCAGAAAAGCAGGGACGTGTTTGCCACCCAGGGCTTCAGGGCACCCCCCTCCTGCCCAGCACTGGGTGAGAGCAGGAACCCTGAAGGGCCTCGCCAGCATGAGTGAGTAGCGTCTGCTCTAGAATGGTAAGGGGGGCATCTGGGCCATCAGCCTCGGTGGGAACTCCTTGCAGAGAACTACTCCTGATCGCTGTATCTGTGGCACCCACCCCCCAAATGCACCCACCTCCCCAGGCTTCATCTGCAGCACCAACTTAACCAGACCTCATGCACAGGGGAGTGCCATCTTCTGCAGTCTGGGTCAAGCCCATGAGTTGGGGAAAATGGAAAGGTTACTCTCAGGTGGCCTAGACCATGAGAACACTCAGGGCTACACTGATGATGTGTTTCCTGTGTTTTGCTGTTTTGGTGCTGGCTGGGAAACCCCTTTCTCTAGGGGTTCCAGGAAAGGGCACTGCTTAGTAAATGCGATGCGTTTGGCACCATCAAAGGCTGACCGCCCCCACGGGCAGCCACAATGCGTGTGCGATGCCACTGCCCCCATTCCATCTGCCAATGCAACGTGGCGACATCTCAAAGTGACAACTGGTACGGGGAAGGGGGTTCCTGCCGAGGCTGAATTTTCCAGATGCTCGGGTTGAGGCTGACACATGGAGGGGGAGGAAGGGGATAAATGCGGAGGTGAGAACGAAACCTGTTACCTTCTCGGCACACTTTTTAATGACCGTGGCCAGCTCTGAGACCACGAGATCAACACACTTCAAACTCGGCTCTTTGAGTTTTACAATCTGTTTTTTCACAATGGCTTCAAAGGCCATGTCGGGGGTGAAGAGCCCCGTCCTGGGTCATGTGGAGGGCAGGACGAGGCAGAAAGACACCCAGGGACAGTGCAGGCCACACACGCAGGACAGGAGACAGAGAGAAGAGAAGAAACGAGAGTCATCTGATTAGTCCATGCACGGGGGAGCCTGCGCCCGCATTTGCCCCGGAAGCTGCTTCGGATCAAAGAGGTCTGGGGTTTGGGGGTGTGGACTTGGTCTGGGGTATAGTTACAGAAGGGCCACGGGGGGTTGTCATTGCACAGACAGCCAGCCAAGGTGTGCGGAGGCCTCTAACGTTCATGTCCATGACACCTGGCTCTAGGATGAGTATTTTCCAACCTGTTTGGGCTGTTTTCCCCCTCCCTTTTCTAATCGAAGAAGCTTAAGCAGCAAATGTGGGCTTTTCCAGACTGAGAACAGAGGGGCTCAAGCAGAAATTCCCTGGCAACCCGGAGCGCTGGGGACACTGTGGTCGCGCAAGCACAGACTGCCCACTGGGAGGCATTTCAGCTGCTTGGCCAAAGCGTGCTGCCCTGGGAACCAGGCCCGCGGCGTTGGAGCGGGTTGGGGGAGCCCGGCGTGTCCTGCCGAATGGAGGCAGTGGCTCATCGAGGGCGCATAGAGGCACTGTGACTGAGTGGATCCAAAAATGGGCTGCCCCTGGGGGACAGCATGGGGTGCAGGGTGTGGCAGGGGCACTTAGGAGCCCAGCTGGCTCTCATTATGTCGCTGGCATTCGGGCCTTTCCCGGAGCTGAGGGACAGAGAAGTCGGTGGCTTCAGGGAAATCTGCGAATGCCGGGCATTGGTCAAGAAGGGGCGACAGCCAGGGAGCTTCAAGGAGCTCAGCCTCCAGCAGTTGACGCGGGGGGTCCCTCTCTGCTTCCCAGGAGGCAGCAAAGCAACAGCCCAGTGAAACCCCAATTTCATCAGACACATGCTAGGCTTGGTATCAGGGTCCCAGGGACAACTGTGCATCTATCTGGCCAGTCCAGGAGGCCTGGCACTCCCCTGTTAGGCCCAGGCCGACATGCTCCTGTCCCAGCCTCTGGGGAGAGGCCAAGTTCACGGACACGAAGCAATATGGGGAGAAAAGGCACCAGTGGGGGCCGATGAGGCGCTGGGAGCCTGATACCAAACCCCCGTACCCCCGTTTCCACAAGGTCAGGAGTCACCCTGCCGAGGGAGCAATACCTTACTGGTACACTGCCTAACTGTATTGATTAGCTCCTGGATAACCAGGTCGACACATTTCAGACAGGGCTCTTTCAGCTTGACGACCTGCTTTTTCACAATGGCCTCGAATGCCAAGTCCGGGGTGAAAAGCCCAGTCCTGAAACCATCCAGACCCGGGGGCAAGGGAGATAAGTCAGAGAGAAACAAAGCATGGTCAGCAATTTCATCGGCCCTGGCCGGGTCCCCAACAAGGAACGAAGGTTGCGTCACGTGTGGGGCCGGACGCCTGAGTCCACTGCCCGGAAACCCTCAGGGTGACCCGAGGACCCCACGGCGATGGAAGGGCAGACACCTGTAGCGACTACCTTTGTTAGAATAAGGAGGGGACCCAAGAGGCTCACAAGGAACCCGTGATGGGGACTCATGCTGGCTTCCCAAAACCCTGATTCAGTGCCGCCCCGCCCCTCCCCAGGCACACCTGCAGTGAACTTTCTTAGTTTAGCATGAGGTTCACACCAACCGACTGGGCAGGAACCAAGCCCTATTTGGTCAGGAGCCACAGACAGCCCTGAAGCCTGCGACAGACGCAGGACTGAGACACATCCCCCGTCACGTGCCCTTGGAGACCCACAGGGAGGGGCTCACAGCTACTGAAAACCATGCAAGAGCCCTCTTAAGGCCTAATGATTAGGGGCTCAGAGGTTTGGGCGACCCAGTTAGCTGGGGGGTGGCACCGCGGAGAGGAAGGGACAGTGGTGACTCTCCTCGTGGAACTTGCCTGACTCCATGGATGTTCTTAATGGCGTAGCTGATCTCCCGTCGTAAGTCCTTCTCATCAAACTCCATCTGAGAAGAGAAACCAAGCACATGCATGGAGGTACCTGGGACGCCCCCATGGCAGGCGTGCATCTGGGGAACATTCTCTCCCACGTGCAGCTGTATTCACAAGGCGGAATATTTAACTCGTCAGAATTTTACAAAAAAATTGAAAACTGGCCAGATACAGTGGCTCACACCTGTAATCTTTGGAAGGCCAAGGCAGGCAGATGGCTTGAGCCCAGGAGTTTGAGACCAGCCTGGGCAACATAGTGAGACCCCATCTCTACTAAAAATACAAAAATTGGCCAGGTGGACTGGTGCACGTCTATAGTCCCAGCTACTTGGGAGGCTGAGGTGGGAGGATCATCCGAGCCCAGGAGGTCGAAGCTACAGTGAACTGTGATTGCACCACTGCACTCCAGCCTGGGTGGAAGAGCAAGACCCTGTCTCAAAAAAAATAAAAACAAACAAATTAATTAAAACCCAGTTTCAGAAAGCCTGCCATGAAACCAACACTCTCATTATATTGGTGGGAATATAAATTCATGTGAACTTAGATTTTTCAGACTATCAGTATGCACTACCACACCTGGTTTTTTCTTTTTTTTTTTTGAGATAGCGTCTGGCTCCGTCACTGAGGCTGGAATGTGGTGGTGCGATCTTGGCTCACTGCTGTATCCTCTGCCTCCTGGGCTCAAGTGATTCTCCTACCTCAGCCTCCCAAGAAGCTGGGACTACAGGCATATGCCACCACATCTGGATAATTTTTGTATTTTTAGTAGAGATGGGGTTTCACCATGTTGCCCAGGTTGGTCTTGAACTCCTGGGCTCAAGTGATCAGCCCCCCTTGGCCTCCCACAGATTACAGGTGTGAGCCACTGCATTTGGTCTTGCTCCTCTGATTTTAAAAACTGTTTTTTTTTAAAATAAATAAAAAAAAAACAATGTTATGTGCTTATTGTAAACAGTATAAAACTTCAAGCAAATCATAAAAAAAAAAAAAAAAAGAGGAAAAAGTCCTAAATCCTAGTGCCCAGGGCTGACATTTTTGCAAACATCCTCGCAAATACAAAGAAACACTTGTAGACATCCGTGTTCAGTTTCATACATAAAGATGTTGTATGTATCAGCTGAGTGCTATACTGCACATGCTGGCTCCAATGCCTATGTTTTTCTTTTCTTCAATGACATGCTTGGGCCATCTTCTCATGTAAATTTATCTGTATTTTCTATGTATTTTGCAAAGAATGTACATTGGCTTTTGTCAGAGGAAAAACACAGGGGTTTTCATATTGTTCTACCCCAAACCTCAAAGCTTAGTGTCGGGAAAGGAAGGCCATGGGGCATCTCATCCAGGCCACACCCTGCCCACCACAGGTTCAGGCCTAGAGGTAGGAGCTTGAGACCTTATTGCCTGGGAGGAGGCCTGGCTGGAGGCCAGCAGGAGGGTGCCTGACCCAGCCCCCGGGGGCGCTACCTTCACCAGCTCAAATGGGAACCGCTCGTGGAAGATGCGATTGATTCGGGCGCCCCCGGAGAGCTCCAGTGTGTCCACCTGATCTCCTGAGCCCTCGATCCTCTTCTCAAAATCCACCCCAAACTGCTGGACCATCCTATAAGGAAAAGGAAAAAGCAAGCATCAAAGCAGAGGTTTCCACACTGCTCTGGAATGATGTTCCAAGTCAAGCCAAGGTTTACTGTTCTTTCACCATTCTTCAGCAGCAAAATGTCTTCTGTCTATGTTAAAACAAATAAACCAAATTCAAGAGCTCCCAATGGCAAATGCTGGCTACGAGTCAGGCTCAAGCTAAGCTTGTTTCGACTATTCACCCATTCAATCAAAGAAGGCCCACTTATTCCTCTCACTTTGCAGAAGACAGGAGAGTTCAGGAGTCAAAGCTCAGCACCTCTGCCCTGATTTGCAGGATGCAACTTGATTTGCAGGATGCAACTTGATTTGCAGGATGCTGGGAAGGAAAGGTAGCCACTTCCGAACAATTCAGGTACTTCTGCAGGTTCCTGCCACTTCCCAGCCTGCTGGGCTTGGTCCTACCCCACTGATGGGATGTAAGGCCTTGGACAGGACTTCGTCCCTCTAAGTCTCGATTCCTCATCTCCAAAATGGATTGAGGGTAACAACATCTACCTCCTTCGTGGGGACTGAAGATGTTTCTAGATCTCATTACCTCCAAGAAGTCACTGATCCTAAAATGCACTGTTATTTTGTGTGTCCGCAAAAAAAGAAAAAATGCTGCCACGAATGGTGATTCTGCAGACACCTGGTTTCACACAAGTTAAAATGCTTTCTTGGCCGAGTGTGGTGGCCCACGCCTGTAATACTAGCACTTTAGGATGCTGAGGTGAGAAGGTGAGAGGAGGGCTTTAGTTTGGGAGTTTGAGACCACCCTGGGCAACATAGTAAGACCTCATTTTATTAAAAACAAACAAGCAAACAACGCTGGACACGGTGGCTCACGCCTACAATACCAGCACTTTGGGAGGCTGAGGCAGGCAGATCACCTGAGCCCAGGAGTTTGAGACCAGCCTGGACAACATGGCAAAACCTCATCTCTACTGAAAATACAAAAACGAGCCGGGTGTGGTTGTGCATGCCTCTAGTCCTGGTTAATTGGGAGGCTGAGGCAGGGGAACTGCTTGAACCTGGGCGGCGGAGGATGCAGTGAGCCAAGATTGTACCGCTGCACTCCAGCCTGGGCGAGACAGAGTGAAACCCTGTCTCAAAAAAAGGAAAAAAAAAAAACAAAAAAACTTTTCTTGGTAAATTGCTTAGACCGGGCCTGGCCCTTAAAAAGAGTCTCTCAGCATTGCTTATTGGCACCGTGAATAGTATAAAAGTAAGATGATCTTGTTCGCGTTTTAGTTTTCCTAAGCATTCCTAATTGCTCTCCCTAGTGTACTGGGCTGTCTCCCCTCATCAGTTTCACCCCCGAAATTCATGATCTATTGAAGTACCTGGAGACTTGCCCCTAAAGGGGAGCTGCTCAATGGTGACCACTGCCAGGGCCACCAAGGCTGGGCTGCCAAAGAAAGGGGGTCTCCCTTCATACCCCAAGTGGGAGAGGCAAGCACAAGCTGCCCAGATTCCCAAAATCTCTTTCCTCACATGAAGCAAAGGGTGCGCACATTTAATTTCCTTCCAGGACACACACAAAGGCCTACATTAATGCTTCACCCGGAATGGGGAATTTGTTTTTGTTTGCGTTTTTCTGAGATGGAGTCTCGCTCTATCGCCCAGGCTGGAGTGCAGTGGCACAATCTCAGCTCACTGCAACCTCTGCCTCCTGGGTTTGAGTGAGTCTCCCGCCTCAGCCTCCCCAGTAGCTGGGATTGCATGTGCCCGCCACCACGCCCAGCTGATTTTTGTGTTTTTAGGATAAATGGGGTTTCGGCATATTGGCCAGGCTGGTCTCAGTCTCCTGACCTCAAGTGATCTGCCCGTCCTGGCCTCCCAAAGTGCTGGGATTACAAGCGTGAGCCACCGCACCTGGCCTGGAATGGAGAATTTGAATTGTGGACCAAACCAGGACCAAGGTTGGCAAAGGTACAGCACTCAACTAATGACAGACAACAGACTGGGGAGGGGTTTGGGCAAGGATGGAGACTCTGGAGACCTGCTCTCAGCCACAGGGGACAAAGCACACCTGGGCACCAGCCTCCTGGGGGCCCTGGAGGTGATTTACGGGCCCAACCCTTGCTGCACAATCAGAGTATTCTGGACAATTGTGACTGGCTGGTCGGTGTCCCATGGAATTCGGGTTTAATCCTGCCCCCCTGTACCTCGGAATGTGCTCTTAGTAACATAGTGAGACTTTGTCTCTACAAAAATAGAAAAATTAGCCAGGCATGGTGGCACACACCTGTATTATTCCCAGCTACTCAGGAGACTGTGGTGGGAGGATCACCTGAGCCCAAGTGGTGAGCCGGGATTGCACCACTGCACTCTAGCCTGGGCAACAAGGCAAGACCGTTTCAAAAACAAACACATGAGGGCCGGGCGTGGTAGCTCATGCCTACAATCCCAGCACTTAGGGAGGCCGAGGTGGGCAGATCACCTGAGGTCAGGAGTTCGACACCAGCCTGGCCAACACGGTGAAACCCGTCTCTACTAAAAATACAAAAATTCGCTGGGCATGGTGGCGCATGCCTGTAATCCCAGCTACTCAGGAGGCTGAGACAGGATAACTGCTTGAACCCAGGAGGTTGCAGTGAGCTGAGATTATGCCACTGAGCTTCAGCCTGGGTGACAGAGCGAGACTCCATCTCAGGAAAAAACAACAACAACAAAAAACCACCAAATACATAAATAAAATAAAATGAAAAAATCAATTTTAAACACGTACGTACGTTCCTTAACCCCTCTGCTGGGGTCTGTGCCCTGCAGGAATCCTCGCCTGTACAGTCACAGATGAACTTACAAGCATCTGTTAATGCAAAAAAAAACAAGCAAACCCCTGGGTGTCCCCTATGGGCATTGAGATACATGAACAGTCTGTGGGCTGCGCCAGGCAGAGACAGAAGGCTCCAGGCTTTGCTTTAACAAGAAGAGAAAAGCCAAGTGCAGAATTCAGGGGCTGGGGGATGTCTATTACCGTAATTCCCGTTCTGTTGTAAGG